TTTCTGCGCGAAATGTGTTTCTGTCTGCATTTTTAACGGCCGTTCGGTTCCTGTCGTTTCCCTAAGCGTTCGTGTCCTTCACATTCATTTAGCAATAGTAGAGTCACTCCAAGTCTTTCGAGTTTCGCATTTCGACGATAGGTTCGCGGCATCAGGATGATTTTCCGTCGGGAGTCAGTGGTGGCGGTCACCTCGAAGACGAAGGCCTGACGATAGCGTTTTGGCCAAAACAGTTATCGACCGTAACTTTGGCGTCAAGCTGAAGCGTTTATTCTGATTCTCAAGAAAGACCTGCGTGGAACTACCAAGCCAATTCCGATTCCACGCGTTTTTCTCATGCCCGTTAGTGGGCGTCCACAGATACCAGCGGACAAAGCATGCAGTATTATGCTCAGCTACGGGGCATGCGAGGGCCAATGTACTAAATCCCAGACATCTGCAATGTATCGGAGTCGTCAGTATGCATCCAAGAGCAACTGAAGTCTGGGACGATCAAGAGTGCAATACCTTTCCCGTGTCTGTAAGGAAGAATATCAACACTTTGGATCCCCACATAGCATCAAAAAGAAACAATTTACGTGAGCCAAGATTTCAACACTTACCACCGGGAGCCAAACCTACACGAGCAGGTGCCTAAGACGCTTTCAGAATATCATAATCAATCAAATTCCTACCCTCGGTTATAATCTCAATTCCGCGTGCACTGCGGGTACGTTATTATCATAAATGAGAGGAAACGCAACCTCCGTATCGGCGTTATTCGTACACATCGCAGACATTTGAGCAAGAGCTGCGAAAAAATGGCACCGCGAGCAGAGACGGACGAGGAGTGTCGTCTGCTATCGCCGTCTGCTCTTGTCGTCTGCTTCTGCACGGACGCTGAACTGACTCCGGAGCCGGTGCAAAATTTTGAGGAACTGGGTCTGAACTCGCTCAGAACTGGGATGAATCGAACGCGCCAGTGCAGCGGCCGTACAACTTCCGGTTGAATCGAATGCACCAGTTCCTGCACTGCTGAACTAGTTCAGCCAGTTCAGGCGAATCGAACAGACCTAATGTATAACCATGGCAGTGACCTCTGCAGAGATTCGGATTCAGATCCACCGGCGTCCCATTTGAGTCGGAAGTTCCGATGTCAACGTTGCCAACAGAACCTGCGAGACAGCCAATTTCGCCGAGGCTCATTTACAATTTCAGTTTGGGCGCAGGCACAATTTCGTTATTTATATTTTTGTATCAGTGTAGCACATAGTCATTAGGCACACAATGGCGCAGCAGTTGCATCCCTGTATTCCTTCTTCTAAGGGCTATTCCAACTAACTGCGATATTTTTGGTGCACGCTTCAGTCAAACTGAATTCTTTGACAGATACCTAATGGTGCAGTCATCAACTGGGACAGTTTGCTCTTTCTTTTGTCTATATATTCCCTCTGGTCACTGTAGTTTGTTTGTTTTTTTGCTTGTAGAGATTGGTAGGATTTCGTTGTGTGAGAACTGCAGTGATGTGATTGGCCTAAGCCATTTTGGAGCACCTTTTGGAGCAGCCAAAACAGTGTTTTGGAGCAGCGAAAGTGGCTTTTGGAGCAGATATTCTAAGCTAAAAATATTTGTTTTAAGTGGCGGAAAAACGAAAGGCACTTCGTGCTGTGTTCTGACAGAACTCTCTGTTTGTGTTTTTACGGCCAAGACATCCCACAAGTGTATTGTAGGCGTTGCCGAGCAATTTCAAAAAGAACGCATGCTACCGTTTTACTGGTTCCCGACGTGCCAGATTTCCATCAAAAGTAAGCAAACGTAAAACAATGGATTGCAAGCGTCCCGCTGGTGCCGCTGTCGTAGTCGTAGTATGCAAAATGCAACTGTCCAGCATGCGACAAAAAAAAAAAATAAAACAGTCCAGCGGCGCGTGCTTGCCAGGCCGGAAGGCAAGACAAAGCTGAACACACAGAAAGAAAAAAAGAAAGACCTGAACGCATCGATGCATGACATCGCAAGCCAGGGTCAAAAAGTTCTTGGAGCACTTTGTGCAACGACTGAACTCTAGACAAACAAGCGCGCTGTGCGGGTTCAGCGTGCAGACATTGCCTTCTTTGTTTTAGCTCACTTCTCTTCACCAACTTTCTTTCACGGCATATTTTTCACGTACCGGGGTTCTCTCGAAAGAAAGCCTACCGAGAAAAACCTAGGCAATCAATATTTCGACAAGCAGTCATTGAGTTAAAGAGGGATTTTACAGCGCAGCTCTTAGGGGCCCGTTTCCGGCTTGAGCGGCGTCGGCGTCGCCGTCGGCGTAACCGCGCGGTGCATTATGGGTAAAATTTTCCCGCTAAATCTAGCGGAAAATATTCCCCGCTAAATCTAGCGGAAAAAATTTCCCCGCTAAATCTAGCGGAAAATTTTCCCCGCTAGATTTAGCGGAAAAAATTCTCCGCTAAATCTAGCGGAAAAATTTCCCCGCTAAATCTAGCGGAAAAATTTCCCCGCTAAATCTAGCGGAAAAATTTCCCCGCTAAATCTAGCGGAAAAATTTCTCCGCTAAATCTAGCGGAAAATTTTCCCCGCTAGATTTAGCGGAAAAAATTCTCCGCTAAATCTAGCGGAAAAATTTCCCCGCTAAATCTAGCGGAAAAATTTCCCCGCTAAATCTAGCGGAAAAATTTCCCCGCTAAATCTAGCGGAAAAATTCCCCGCTAAATCTAGCGGAAAAATTTTTCTGAGGGGTCACGTGCCCCCCCCCCCCCCCCCCCCCCCCCCCCCCCCCCCCCCGAGGTCACGCGACACCCCCCCCCCTCCCCCCCCGCCCCGAGAACAAGTACCCCCTCAGTACCCTTCACTCGTCCTCCTCAAGAGCTGCGCTCCAATTCGGTGTTACAGGGAGCTGTAAACGGCTTTCATTTTTTTGTATTAGAGTATGATTGAATGTCGATGAATACGTTTAGGAAGCGCCATATCTGCAGCGACGTGGGGACGGCAACACCCGATGTCGCGCGACCACAGTAATTGTGCACAGCGTGAGCGTTTCAGCTCACAAAGTAACTCTCGCCGCGCAGAAACGTGGTTTTGTTTCACAGCATGACGACATTGCTGGCACCCGGCACACTAGCGTCGGAGCGTCCGCACACGCCCGCGTCTAATCGTTGAAAAAATTAGAAAAAAAGACGCGAGACGAGATTCCCAAAGCGACGAGGGCGCGAAACGCGAGACGGCGGGAAAAAACTATACAAGGGGGGACCGGATGGACGATTCACGCAGGGTACCTTTTGTGTCAGTAAAGCCCCTTGATGCGTTTGTGTTTGTCTTGCAAGTAGCGTCAAATGCGCCAGTGCACGAGGCTCGTGTCTCGAGCTGCCCTTGGAAGCAAATGGCGGCGCAGCACTGAAATGAACGGCTTTGGAAGCGAATGGCGGCGGAGCACACGCTCGTGGCACGTGTCTCGCGCGTTCCTACAACAATGGTTGGCGGTACTTGAAAGCGTGAATTTTATCAAGGGGCTTTATGTGTCAGAAGCCGCTTGCGCCACCTAGCTCACGCATGCCTATAGACCGATCTCACCAAGCGTTCCACGCACGCGTGACGCCGCCATAACTGTAGTTCGTAGGAGGCAGACGCCAGTTCACGAGGCAGCTCGTGCCGCCTCGTGCTCTGCTCGCGCAGACCTCCAGCAGGGTTGTCGCGCGTGCAGAAAGACTACAGCTCCCACGATGCACGTCGGCAGCGGTGGCGTACTCAACTAGCTGGTGAGATCGGTCTATTGCGGTTTTCAGTTTAGTTTCGGTTTTGAAAGGCTACCGAAATTGGTCCTTTGGCGCACGCTTGGCGCAGATTACCCATATTTTGGCAAAATGTAGCAGGATGTAGCAGGGTTAGCCCATAGGCGCAGTTTGGCGCAGCAATCACATCACTGGAACTGCTGTATTATCTTTCAAAGGAGTAAGCTGTTTTTCTTGTGTCCCGTACTTGATTATCAAACATTCATTTTCTATTAAGGGAGGAGATGATATAGTGTGCCATCAGTAATCTAGATGGCACCAAAAGTTCATGTTGTTACGAGATGGTGCCTGCCAGTGGCACATGCCGTCCCTGTATGCATGCAGATATTGTAAATAGAACCAATCTTGATTGAAACTGGTCCGACGTGTCTTCCTTTACCGGTGTGTCCGCTTGTGTACCAGGGATGCACACCACCAGAGAGGCTGGTTTGCCACCCACAACCGTGGTCAGAAACGGCGGGAAAGGGGCAGGCATCTCTGCAGGGCAAGCACCAAACACAGTGAAGCTCTCGGATACTCTGTGAGCTGAGGACTTCTGTTCTTTCACAGTGCTAGCTACTAGTTCCCCTTCCTGGCGAAATTTGATGAAGTCGGTACAGAAAAACCCACATTATCGAGAGGACGCTGAAAGTGCCGCCCCACTGTCAACCCTCGTGCAACGACGTTATCTGTGGCAAGATGCACTATTGGTTATTGTTCCCCCTTTCTTGCCCCGCCACCCCACGCTCGCCATAGCAGCTTCGAGTGGGGTTCTGAAAGGTTCTCCAGCGCATTTACACGACATTCGCTCAGTTCGCCCCCAGACATAACCAGACCACGCAAGATTCGGTTTCTGTCTGAGGAGCACCGATGGCAAGCACCGAGCAGAGTAGAACGAGGGCCCCAGGGGCACGAGAACAGCAAGGGACACAGGCATTGCACTTGGGTGCCTTTCACACATCAACAACAACTCCACCAAAAGCAAAACTTTTACAGCAAATACCTTGAAGCCCACAGACTTGTGTTTTTTGCCAACCATTGACCTTGTCCAGAAAAGTTGTATCCGCAATAATGAGTCACTTAGTGTGTCCCCAGAGATGTTGCCCTACTGACAGTGTCTAGATTAACTAGAAATGACTTCAGTGCACATTTTAAAAACTAATGCAACCACTTGGAATCCACTTTTCACAAGAGCTGGCTTCCAAATCAATTTTACGAAACTACTACCAGTGACGACACTCAAACAAGAAAGGCAATGCTTTCCCCTTTTATTGGCAAATTGCCTCAAGTATTTAAAAAATATCAAGTACAGTTAGTAGCTCCAAAGTGTTCACATAAAAAATGCTTTGCAACTTTCATACCACTTTTGAAGTTGATCCCATCACTCATGCCTCCACAGATATCAGACAGTGTTGCATCAATGGCAGATACCGTGCAAAAAACTTCATACACAGTTTAGAATCCTTAGGAAGTGACCAAACGACAGGGGCAAGGCATCCTGTAAGGCTCGTACAATGCATGTGCTCGTAAACTAAAAGAAAGCGTCGCAGATGTCCACCAGACAGATAAACAGCAAGCAAACAGTGACTGACCGCACCAAAAGAAAATCTAACAAGACGCTTGAATAACACTTGACTAAAAGGCAGACTTAGGGAAGCACCAACTGCTCGAAAATGTCCATGAACATCCTCCTGTCGATCTATTCACTCTCAAGTCCACCTCTAAAAGAAATGTGTTAGCAAAATATTGACTTTTATGGGGCAACTCCCATTCTCCCCCTTCACAGTGGGCCAGGGGAGGAGGGAGGCCGTGTAGGTTTCACGGCTGAAACATTAATACTCATAAGGGTCTTCTTTCATTCCACTACCACAATAAATTACCATAAGCCACTAGACTCACACCTGCATAGAATTCAAGCAAATAATTCGGGGGGACAGCCTCCCCTTTGCAAAGGGATGCGTGGTTTTAAAAACTACTCCATTTTGGGAAAACAGTCACATCAGAAGAAAAAAAAAGGAAAATCTCTCGGTGCCAAAACGAAAGATGTGGGAGAAGAGCACAACATCCGGCTACTTGAACGGAAGGAACCCAAACCATCTTCTTGCCACGGGGCCAGTGCCAGGGCAGTACGGCTTCAAGAGAACTTTATCTCCCATATTTTCACGTTGCTGTCCTGGCCGGCGGACACAATCGTTGAATTGTCCAACCATGCTAGCCTGGTGATTTGGCTTTGGGGGTGAGCTTCTGCAGAGACAAGCACAACGAAGCCACTTACAGTCATTGCATGGATGGTAACTGGGTCATCCGACATTCTAAATTTTTTGATGGAGTCTCTCAAAGTTAACTGCTGTTTGTCAATGCCTCCAAGCACAGCCAAACACAAACTGAAGCTATTACTAGTACCCCGAGAAATAAACCTACTTATCTACACAGAAGGGCAATCTCATCATAACCCTGTCAAATATTGGCTCTACACCCTTTATAGAAGAGATTTAATAGAATCATAAAAACTAATTCGATTTTTGCCACTTTCGAAGTAGATTATTTGACACCAATTTTTCGTTTCTGAGTAACTACCAAACACCAGAAACCCCAGTCCGGTTGTAAAACCCTAAAAAAAATAAATGCCGCATTTTAATTTTTTTTTTTTTTATTTATTAAACCACAAGGACTGTCATTCTTAAGTATTACAATGAAATATTGTGTCTGCATTTTATAAACAGAGTTTAAAAATTATGTTTTTTACTGTCTGCAACGACCATGCTACACCCTACAGCAGCATGAGCAACAAAATGTCATGGTAGCTCCGTAAAAAGGTTCAACAGACATTCAACTTTATTTAATCTTCAAATAATAAATTAGGAGTGATAAAAACATCACGCGATTGGGACATAGTTTTTGTTTAAAACATACCCGGTCCTTTGTTTGATAGCCATCGTAACCATGCTTTTCATCCTGCTGCGGCTTGTGCTCGTTGTAGAACCTCATTGTGGATTAAAATACAGTCAAACCCGGATTTGTTGAATTCAAAGGGGATTGTAAAACAGTTTGATATAAGCTAAATTAAGCTCGAGTTGAAATTCACTGGCGTCTCCTAAACACAGTAGAGCATAGTTGGCAGAGACTGCAAACACTGGCCGGGTAAGCCGTTCAAAGTGCGATTGCAGATTGCACAACCGTTGTCGACACACTCGACTTGCCAAAGACTTTTTGCTTATTTTATTTTGGGGCTGGGGGTCGCACAGCATCAGCAGTGTTTGGGGAAAGGGCGCAGGCTACCGTTTCTACAGCAAGCACTCCCTGTGAGTGCGCGCGCGCGTGCCCTTTCCCTCGTTTCTGCCATCACCTCCCTTGTTTTTGCCATCATCCATTTTTTTTTTTTTTTTAGAACTGTTTTTTTGCTGCGTATTTTACCGCGTGTACGCTGGCTTGGCACTCTGCCAGCCCTGCAACCCAAGCGTTGTGCTCGCCAACAAGCAACGGGCGGCCGGGCTTCGTTTGCTATATCGAGTGTCCCTGCCATGGGAGTCTGATACAAAAAGACAACGCTCCTATAGTATTACATGTGATTTTCAAGGGGATGTTTGGACTGTTTTGATATAAACAATTCGAAATACCCGAGTGTGATATTACCGGGCTGTAATAAAACAAAAGTGAAGCAGAAAAAAATCCTAAGAGGATTCGAGTTTAGAACTCCGCAACATCAGTACGTAGCAAGGAGGGACGTGCATGACCTCTCGACTATCAGCACATCCTTTTTGGACCGCTTATTTTGGCAGGTGTGCCTGTAGGACGTTGTACTAGCTTTCCACGACCGGCTTTATAGTTGAGTTTTCTATTCATTTTTCTTTACTGCGACCTTCCTCAGCATCAACTCGACATGCTGCTCCTCAAGTATGCAAAGGCGATTCATTTTGCCTAATATTTCCACCCTTTACATCCTTTTTCTGCGAGTGGATCAACAATTTGCTGGTCGAAACGAGAACTTATTCGCAGTCCTCATTCGACGATCGTATCGGGACGCGGCTTGTCTGATCCAATTTGCAAACAATGCAACTTACAGGGCAAGTTGTATCGCAATTTGCCCTGCAATTGCGTTGCTACATTAAACATTCTTGGTTTAGCACTAGAAACCTGTAAGCATTTCTTCTCGAAGTCTGCCTCCAGGTCACTCCTCTCCACCCCATTGACTCACTGACCCATTGACTTTCCCCGTCAGGTCGGCCTGTGTCCACGGAGTATGGCAAATGACGGGCAATGGCCCGTCACGTGTCAATTTTACAGCAAAATCCAGCAGGAAAGCTGGATTTGTGTATAGGTTAAGTGACCTCAAGCCATGTGATGTCATTTTCCCACTAAATTTAGCGGGGAAACTGTATACCGTAATATCCCGACTCAGAGCCCATCTCCGAGTCATTGCTTACCCCCCCTTTTAGGGCAAAACATCGATTTCATAAAAAAAAAAACGAGTCATCGCCCCAACCCTGCCTTCACTACGGATTGCAAGATAAGTAAACACCCATCCTCCCTGAATTTCGCGACTGCGGACCCCAAGGTCGGAAGACGGCCGTGACAATGAGAAGCGAGATAGATAACAGGGTGAAGCTACCTTTGTTCACAACGAAAAGGGAGCCCGAAAACCTCGTCTACAAATTGCGAGGTCAGAGACCGAGATCCCTTCCAGGGAATGTTTGTGAAAGGAAAAAGGGGGATAATAGTAGAACACACCCCATCTTTTGTTCTCTAATAAAACAAAGTCAGTCTCTTCCCTGCAAGCCCCAACCGCGGATCACGAGATAAGCGAACACCCTTCCTCCTGAAATTTCGTGACCGTCAATCCCAAGGTCGAAAGACGGTCGTAACAATGGAAAATGAGAAGCGCAGGCTGCAAGGTCAGAGACCGCAAATCCTATCAGGGAACGTTCATGAAAAGAAAAAGAATAGGGACAATGGAATAAACATTTTTGTGTTCAGAAATAAAAAGAAGTCCGACTCTTCCCAGAAAGCCCTAACCGCCAATCGTGAGGTCATCAACACCCGTTCTCCCAGAGTGTCGCGACCGTAAACGTTTGTCAATACTGTAACAAAAGCAAAGGATAGTACAGCAAAGTGAAGTCTTTTGTTTTCAAAGACTTCAAAGGCCGCCTTCCCAATACTGGATACATTTGTCCTGCCTGTGCCCTATTTAAGCTTCAGTTTCTCCATCCAATAGCTATTCACTGCATCTGTCGGTGGTGTTGCTGTCAGTTCGGACGTCATGAGAAACAGCTATACGGTGCAGAAGAAGCAAGAAGCCCTCGGCATTATGTTTGATTCAGACAGCGACGTCTCGTTCGACGGTTTTGAAGACGACGATGAGTAAATAAAGATTGCCCGAACGCCCCATTTAAACGCTTGAGAACATCCCAACTTCTTCACACTAATAGCATGCTCTCTTCGGCTCGAGCCGCGTGTAATCTATGTCGAGCTGCTGGCAACCATGAAAAACCCCTACCTTTCCCTACCCGGGTGCGTCACCGGAGGGCAGGCGGACGAGCAACCCGGGCAGCCGCAAAGTGACTTTCCGGGTGCCAGCGATCGGGATTATTTTTTCGCAGCTTCAAGGTTAAACATTTCTTTGCAATGGATCTGTGCTCCGCGGTAGCTAGTAGAAACGGTGCCCGGAAACGCTTCTCTTTTACCCTTGTTTTCGTGGGAGAAAAAAAAAGTGTACTCCCCACAGCAGTAGTGGAGGCCAGCCTCGTCAAGATGCTTTTGCGCGAGCTGTGTGCCGAGAGAACTATACTTCGTTCCAGCTTGGGTCTGAGCGCGGCCGATGTTACGAGCCGAAAAGCCAAAGAAACAGCGAAAGAGGCACAACGTCGTGGCGTGCTCCCTGCACTTAATAGGACCAGCCGGTATTCGCCGTCTATGCGTGCTCCTCCGGCGGCTAGTCAAGCGCAGAGAGCACGCTGCGCTTGACTAGCCGCAGCGTGAAAAGCACGTTGCGCTTTTTACACGGTTTGATTGGCCCTTCGGCTCATAACATCGGCCGCGCTCGGACCTAAGGTGAAACGAAGTATAGTGTCACGTGAAACATTCTCACTCATGCTTGGAATACCTCATAGCCGCGTGCTGCGAATTGAGTATCCTTCTGCAGCTGTAACAGCTTCAAGACCGGCAAGCGCAGACTCAAGCCGGCTGTGACCACTGCGACATCCGTCCAAAGAGGAACGCTAATAATATTGCAAAAATAATTAGAAATATGATGATCCATTTCTGTACTTTACGCACTATTTTATCTTTGAGCAAATATTTTTATTTGAAGATGAATAGTGTATTTGTGTATTTTATACGCCTCATTGCACCTTGATGTTTGGTTCGGTGGTTGCGGAGTTCTTTTGTCATTTTAGCATGATCTTCAGTAACCAGTCATCTGGCCTACACGAATGCGGTTCATTCCATTCCATACATTTCACTGTTTGCGAGAATCAGTCTAGGCGTGTGTTCAGAGCCCAGCACGCGCATGTTCGCCGCTTTGGAAGGCGAGCAAAGCACGCGCCACACGCACAAATGCTGAAAATGGCGCCGACCAGAAGCGCCTTTCTCGAATGGTCTATAGATATTTTTCTAAATTAAACAATCACCAAAAAGCATACGCATGTTACAAGAGTAGTTCCACGTACTGGCATCTGTAACAGTAACTTTTCCAAAGAAAGTCTTAAAGGGGCCTGACACCCCAAAGGTTGTATTTTTTTTTTATTGTCTAAAACGATGCAAGTTGCAGTCATAGACACGCATAAAAAACCGCATCGCGAAAAAAAACTTCCCCGCGCGCGCGCGCTTGTTTATTTTTGTGATTAGATTCTCCCGCCTCTCGCTTCTTTTGATTCGTGACGTCAAGAATCATGAAATTTAGAAGCTTTGTAGGCGACATCTCTATAACATTTAATAACGGCAATCCTAAAACATGTTTTTTAACGCAATTGCGAACGCACTACGGTCCTTCTTTTTGAAATACCAAAAATCGGGAGTTCGTTGTGGTGCCGTCTCCTGGATTTGTATCCTCCCACGGAAAACAGGCGACACCACTCAAAACCGGTCCGCCGGCGCCACCTCCTTGGCCGGAGGTCGCTCCTTTTCTCCTCGCTTTGGGTCGCCATGGCAACAGCAGGGAGTCGTGAAAGAAAGTGGACTCTCAGGACCCTACGATATTTGACGTCAACGCACCGGCGCGGATCGCGCGGGAACTTCGAATTCGGCAT